CTGCAATTGTGTTTTGTGCTTTTGTTTGAATTGTTTCTAACTCTTTTCCTGATATTTTTGCAGATATGGTTAGGACTAACCTAGACATGCCACCCTGCAAAAGAGCGCGGGGTATTGTGATAAGTGAAAGGGGAGCAAATCCTCCTAAAAAGGGCAGAACAGAGCCTCTAACAGGAGGCAAGGGCAAATGCAAGAGGCCTGCATCTGAGGTTCCTGAGCACAACAAGGAGATAATGTCTGCTGACTCCCGGGCTGCATTATCGGAGCCGGAGGACGATCAGACCCTACAGTCCCGATGGATAGAGCTGTGTGCTAGAGCTCGTCCTGACCCATCTAGGGTCCCAGCTGCTGTCACTCCTCCTGTAGCTGATACAGTGCCAGCTCTGGCACCTCCTGTGGCTCCAGTGCCACATGTGGTTCCTCCTCCCCGACTCCTTAATAGATTGAAAGCAGATGAGTTGCGGACTATTTTGGAAGAGAAATTGTTATCTACAGAGGGCCTTGAGGGTAAATACTCTGATGTAAGGGACACCCTCCATTACCACCAATTTGAGCAGTTCCCCAGGCCCCGAGGCCCCTATATTCCTTCATGGGTCTGGGAGTTCTATTCAACATATGGTGAATTAGTTCCAAAGAGCAAGAAGAAGGCTAGCGAGTTCAGACCGGTTAAGTCGGTCATGGTCCGGGGTAAAGAAGTTGGATGCAATAGCGAGTACATCAATACTGTACTTGATAGGGGTCTTGGAGCTACGGATGAATATGAGGGTTTGCCGGTTACTCAGTCCTTGGACGACTTGAAGGGCTGGTTGGCTCCATTGATTTTCGATACCACCCCGAGGTGGATCGAGGCAGGGGTCTCCATAGAGAAAAGGATTTGAGCATTGCTGCTCGGTTCTGGTTTGGCTTCATTAGCAGTACCATAATGCAATCCCAGAACGAGTCCATTCTGCGCCACCCTAAGGCAGCCTGCCTTGGAGCTATCATATCCCGGAGGAGCATTGACTTGGGACTCCTCATAGAGCAAGAGATGGCCATGAGGGCCAAACAGATGGGATAAAGAAATGTCACAATTTCATCAAGTTTCTTCCAAGAAAAGGGCTAAGGCTCAAAGGGTGTTCAAGCGAAGTTCAACTACTCACCAGGTAGGCCACAAAAGAGGTATAATGTCAAATTGTGACCTTTCTTTATCCCACATCGTTGCCTAAGATCATCTAAAGGTCACATTTGCTTTCTGTCATAAATTATATAAAAGAAACGTTGTGGTCTATAAAATTGGTGTAGCACTTCTATTGTGGTGTTGTACATCTAAGTTGTTGCTACTCTTGCAGACTCTGTTCTTTGGTCCTCTGCAGCCTGAAATGACTCCTAAAGTTGGAGCAACACTTCCAACAACCAACGCTTCTCACTCGTCAACAGGTACGCTTAGTGCAGTATGTCTTTCTCTTTTTCAAGTTGATAGTATGTTGGGTTATAATCCATTGTAACTAATCCTCCCGGCACCTCTTTCCTGATAGAAGGTGCTAGTTGCTTAGAAATTGGACAAGGAGTTGGTCAGCAGCCAAGTATCAATGGCCAACAATGAGTATCAAACTTAACTATCTATTGTTTTACTTTACTACATGTGTTATAAAATGCCTAATTTTGAGTTCTAGCCTTTCCTGGCATTCTTTTTATTTCCGTGGCCTCAGTTATTATTCCAGTCCCTTTTTTACCCGATCATTTTATTCTTCTTCTTTTTTGCCTCCGTGATCCTTCTATATGTACTTTCTTATTCACCAGCTATACCTTGACATATTTTTACTTTCTGAATGAAGCCATCACTAATTATGCCTCCTGGTGAAACACAACCTTCAGTCCAAATCTCAAATGAGCACCCAAATCTGGCAACATCCATCCAATATGGAATTTCTAATTTACTCACATTTCTGAACAACTAATTATGATTAATGTTGCTCCTGGATGTGTTCACTGGTCTCAAACCAAGTAGCTTACTCACTAGCAGTTACTTGATGTACTGGGAATTGGGATGCCTCATTACTATTGCTATAAATGTTATGCACCTTGAAAGACAGATTTCTTTATTACCTTTATTATGTTGTTATTGTTGATGCTTTCCTGTCAAGATAAATGTAACTGTGTCTAGTTGCTGGCCTAGAAAGATTATCATTTGTTATCAATTTGAGTATATATATATCTGAGGATATAAAAGTTGACTTGCTATTTAATTGCATAATTCCCTTGTCTGTGAAAAGTCTAGGGATGCATGACAGAGACAAAGTTGGTGATAAGCCCAAGTTAGTGCCTGAAGAGATGCATTATGATAATTGTGTTGATGATTATGACGTGGATGGCATAATGCCGAACCTCCAATGTGCTGATTACTATACAGTTCCTCCTATGGAGGAGTTACTATCAAAGGAGAAGGAAGAAGCTGGTTTTTGTTGCCACGTGAAGGACTTGGTGGTAGGAAGACATGGGTATGGAATCATCAAGTCTTGGGAAAAACAGATGTCGGCAAGCTTGATCTTGATTCTGCTGTCCAGTTCAATCATCGTGAGGTGATCATTTATATGGATGAGAGCAAGAAGCCTCCAGTTGGACAAGGCCTCAACAAGCCAGCTGAGATGACTCTCCTTAATGTCAGATGCATCTACAAATCGAATGGGAAGGAGTACAAAGATGGGCCAATGGTCAACAAGTACAGAGATACGCTTATTAAGAAAACAGTATAGCGAATGCAGAATTTGTTTCTTATGATCTAAGTGGAAATTTAAGGTGTCACACTTATAATTGTGAGCTCAAATTTTCTTGGCATAACCAAATGTTTGAATTGTAAACATGTCCTCCAACTGATATATTTTTACAATTTGCTCACTTTGGTTCCCATTGATCCAAGTATTCATCGCTTCAAAGTTTTATATAGATTTACTTCTTTTGTGCTTATAGTCACATTACAGATTTTAGACATCCAAGTATAGAAATACTGAAAGCTCATCTGTCACATGTGTTAGTTTTCATGTATTTTCTGTCTTATATGGAATGTGGAGTAGTCTTTCAAACATGAACTTTCAAATAATTTCTAAAGATGTGATAGGCCAATAAATTAGTAATTAGTATTTTTTTAATATGTACTATATCCCTCTTATATGATAAGATTATTTCTTCGTCCTGTTTTGTAAATTTAAAATTTTGGTTTTTTTTTATATAGTATAGAAACTTATAGGATTTATATCTCAAATAGTGTTATAAAGTTTTATTGCTGAAAAAGATATCTTTTTTATACAAACAAAATAGTGAAGCAAGAATAAGAAACTCAATTGATGATTACCAAATAGATCTACTAATTGAAATTAGTCATTGAATCAAAGAAGTTCAAAAAAATATATTCAAGTGTGAGAAGGATCAATTATATATATCCCTAAAATTTTGTTTTAGAAGGATCAAATATGGATGGATACATGATTTAAAAAAGAATTAAAAAAAAATAACTTCAAATTAATTTCTTCACCTTTGTTAGATGAAAAAGTATTCTAGGTCATTTGTGTAACGATGGAGTTATATGCGAGCAAATTTTTAACGAGGATATATCAATTTTAAATCGCAAAGTTGAGGAATATACCACACCATTTTTCCTATTTTTTAAATAATCTTTTAAGTTAAATTTGAGATTTTCTTCTTCCTGCATAATGTATTGTTTAGATTTAAAATTATTTTATCTGTGACGTACAAATTAAAATAAATAAAATAATATATATTGGGTTTGAGCTTTTGTATATAGCTTATTAATAATTGAGAGAAAGAAAACGTATTTTTAATTAATATATGAGAAGGATATTAGCTTAAACAATAAGCTGAAAAGGATATTAGCTTAAACCCCAAGCAATACGCTAACGGTTTGACAATCAAAAAGGACTCTTCTTCTTTGTTTTCTCTGTCTCAAAACATGTCGCTATTCACCGCTACAAGTAAGTAAAATTTCGGCCTTTTGATGCACTGTATCCTGTGTTTATGAGTTTTCGTAAATTTTCTTTGATTACTTACATGTTGGTTGCGGTTACGTGATAGTTTATGTGGTCGGTCCAATCTCCATATACATTATTCTTGAGAACAAGAATTTGTTCTCATATACATTGACAACACACTTCTCAATTTTTCCACTTTCTTGCATTCTTGAATCTTGATAGCTGATTCTGGGAATGTTGCTCTCTTCCTTTTTCTTGGTTCCTTGTTTATGCTTTCTCTGTGGGTCTTCCATATTGGTTCTTAGTTAGTTGATAAATAGTTTATATGCTGATTCTTGAAACTGTATTGACAACACAAGTTTTAATTTCTCCACTTTCTTGCATTCTTGAATCTTGATAACTTAATCTGGGAATGTTGCTCTCTTCTTCTTCCTTTTTCTTGGTTCCCTATTTATGCTTTCTTAGTGGTTCTTGCATATTAGTTCTTGTTAGTTGATATATTGTTTATGCCGTTTAATTTCCAGTTCTCTAAATTCATTATATATCTGTTTCTATATATTGATAACAATTTTATCCCAAGAGTACGTTCTTGGTATTAGTTAGTACACATAGACTACGTACCAGGTTGATACATTACTACATAAGTATATGAATCAATGTAGTTGAAATCAGGATCAACAATCCATGTAACGTGGATCCAAGAAAAGAGGCATGACGTAGATTACGATTCTTGATAACAAGAATCTGTTTTCATAAAAGGAGAGAGAGATCATATTTACTTTTTTAGAGAAGCAAGGCGGCTTTGGAATTGGTCGAAAAGCTAAATTTTCTCCTTGTGGAAGTAGCTATGCATATTGAGCTCTACTCTTCTAAAAAAAATGTTAGTAATAACTGCAATACCTCAGTGGTGAGATTTCTTATGGTGGGTAGTGTTATTGCTTACAATTTCTAAAACCGATCTTGTGCCAGCTATTCATGCTTGTAGTTGTCTTTAATTAGTGTCTAGAAAATCAATTCAATTTGCTTTCCTAACTGCAGGACCATTAGACTTTAATGCAGCAATGAATGCTACATCTGGTCAAACACAAAACGTATCTATGGGCTCGTCCACTTTACCAACATTTGGAAAGAAATATGACTTTAATAGTGTGGCCAATGAACCTCTAGTGTGGTCCAGGGATGTCAATGTCTCAGACTCCTCCATACTTGGATATCCAAGAGGTCCTGCATTTGGTGTTTCAAGCAACTCACACTATGGCACCCCAAGACTTGATTCATACTCCTTTGGCCAACCAGCAGTATCCATGTCAGGGAGCAAAGGTTAACTTTATTGTCCATTTTCTCATGTATTGGAGCAGATTCGAGGGAGAATTTTGTTCTGTAATCTATATGCTCTATATTGATCTGAAATCCCTGTTGAGCTTTATTAAATACTACTAAGTACTATTTATTTCTACTTCAAATTTTTTGATATCTCAAGTGTTCAATCTTGATCAAATTTGCAAACCAGGAAAAGAAAGTACACCTTTTTTCAAGAGCTCTGGTTTTGGAAAGTCAACATTTGGCATTAATCAAAAAGGAAGTAGAACAGCATCATATACTGCAACTCCTGATAACGATATCACAGGAACCCGAATTCAATCCATTTGTGGAATGCCGACTTATAAAGATAAAAGCCAGGAGGAGTTGAGGTTTGAGGACTACCAGTTAGGTGATACAGGTATACTTAACTTGTTCTCCTATGTGGATTCAGATTAAGCTTCTTCAAATATGTTATTGCTACCTTTATATGTGCATATCTTCCTGCGGTTATGTTAATTTAAAACAAATTCTTTGGTCTCTATCCAAATATACTCAGAAGAAAGACCACTTAAGCTATTGTATGGGAATGATCTACAGACACTCTTTGAATATGTTATCCCCATGATTTCTCTACCAAATGGATTAAGTACAGCTTTCTTTCTCGCCTGTGGTCCAGGTGAGGAATGACATATATAGATGCTACATTTAATACTGCCAATTTCATGAAAGGAGAGATATCATATTTGCTTTTCTAGAGCAGAGAAGCGGCTTTGGAATTAGTTGAAAAGCTAAATCTTCTCCTTGTGAAAGTAGCTATGCACATTGAGCTGTACTCTTCTCCAAAAATGTTAGTAATAACTGCAATATCTCAGTGGGATTTCTTATGGTGGGTAATGTTATTGTTTCTATTTATGGAACCAATCTCGTGCCAGCTATTGATGCCTTGTAGTTGTCTTTAATTGGTGATTAGCAAATCAATTCAATCTGCTTTCCTAACTGCAGGAACATTAGCCTTTAATGCAGCAACGAATGCTATATCTGGTCTATCACAAAACATATATCCGGGCTCATCCACTTCACAGACATTTGGAAAGAAATATGATGTTAACAGCGTGGCCAATGAACCTCTGTTGTGGCCCAGAGATTCCAATGTCGCAGACTTCTGTGCATTTGGACCTCTAAAAGCTTCTTCATTTGGTGTTTCAAGCAACTCACACTTTGGCATCCCAAGTTTTAATTCCTATTCCTTTGGCCAACCAGCTGTATCGATGTCAGGGATCAAAGGTTTGCTTTATTGTCCATTTTCTCATGTATTGGAGCAGATTATTCAACAGTTTGAGGGAGAGTTTTGTTCTGTAATCTAGATGATCCGATTGATATAAGATTATATTCCGTTCAATGTGCTATTATATGCTCTATATATTGATCTGAAATCCATGTTAAGCTTTTCTTAAATAGTACTAAGTACCATTTATTCCTACTTTATATTTTTGAATATCCTGAGTGCTCATTCTTTAGATCAAACTTTCTAACCAGGAAAAGAAAGTACTTTGCTCCAGAGCTCTGGTTATGGAAAGTCCGCATTTGGTATTAATCAGAAAGGAAGTAGAATAGCATCATACATTGCAACTTCAGATATAGATAACATATTTCTCGATGGTGGAGGAATTCAATCCATTTGTGGAATGCAGACTTACCAACATAAAAGCCAGGAGGAGTTGAGGTTTGAGGACTACCAGTTAGGTGATAAAGGTATCCTTAATTTGTTTTCTTATCTGTAGATTACAAAGAAATCTACCTTGTATTTCATTAACTTATTATACTTCATGGGTGAATTTGCAGGTCAGAAATGTGGTTCTTCATTTGGTGTTTCCGGCACACAGGGGTTTGGTGTCATCGACAAAATGAGGCCTTTCATATCACCAGTATTTAACCAATCAACTGTTAATCAACCTGTTTATTCCCATTTTCCAAGTACATTTGCAGTGGAAAGAGCGGGGATTGACTCTCTATCAAATGAAAATTCTACCCCATTTTCGAAGCCACAGCAGCAGTCCATTTCCCATATATTCCCCCCAAACACGTCATTGTTAAACTCTTGTGGCACTGGAAGTAGAGTGCAATCTACTGCCTCAAATGTTTCTTTTTCTCCGTGGATCCATTCAAGTCCGTTTGCACCTTTTAATCCAGCTTCCAGTTCTTCCACTACCTCCACCTTTTCTCCATCAAGGAATCCGTGGTCTTTATCAATATCTACCTCTCTATCTCCATGTTCAGTTTCACCTTCTATATATCCTTTGTTAGCAAAACCATCAGGCCCTGATTTTGATCAAAAGAACTATGTTCCTCCCACACCTGTTTTAACTACAGGTGGCGCTCCACAATCCACATTTTGCTTGAACTGCCTAAAGCAGTCACAACCTACTCCACCAGGACTTTCTAATGTTTCAAGCACTCCGCTTGCGACGAGTCAAAATACTGTAAGTGTTTCTGAACTGATATCCAATTAGATCTTATTTATATATCTCTGCCATTTGCTTTCTGTCATAAATAATATAAAAGGCACCTTGTGGTCTATAAAATCGGTGAAGCTCTTCTATTGTGGTGTTGTACATCTAAGCTGTTGCTACTCTTGCAGCCTCTGTTCTCTGTTCCTCTGCAGCCAGAAATGACTCCTAAAGTTGGAGCAACACTTCCAACAACCAAGTCTTCTCACCCATCAACAGGTACACTTAGTGCAGTATGTCTTGCCATTTTTTATGTCGATAGTATGTTGGATTGTAAACAATGTAGCTAATCCTCCCGGCCCCTGTTTCCTGTAAGAAGGTGCTAGTTGCTCAGAAATTGGACAAGGAGTTGGTCAGCAGCCAAGTGTCAATGGCCAACAGTGAGTATCAAACTTAACTATCTATTGTTTTACTTTACTTTGTGTGTTATTGAATGCCTAATTTTGACTTCTAGATTTTCCTCGCAATCTTTTTATTTTTGTTGCCTCAGTTTTTACCCCACAGTCCCGTTTTAATCTGATCGTTTTCTTCTTTTGTGTCTCTTCTTTTTCTTGCCTCCGAGATCTTTCTTTTTGTACTTTCTCATGCACCAGCTATACCTTAACATATTTTCAGGTCTTACTTTCCGAGAATCATGGAAGTCAAGCCATCACCAGTTATGCCTCCTGCTGAAACACAACCTTCAGTCCAAATCTCAGTTGAGCACCCGTATTTGGAAACATCCATCCAGTATGGAATTTCTAGTTTACCTGTAAGTTTCACATTTCTGAACAAGTAATTATAATTAATGTTGCTCCTGGATGTGTTCATTGGTCTCAAGCCAAGTAATCATACTCACTAGTAGTTACATGATGTACTGGGATACCTCATTACAATTGATGTAATGCTATGCACCTTGAAATACAGATTTATTTATTACCTTTATTATGTTGCAATTGTGGATGCTTTCCTGTCAAAGTAGATGTAACTGCGTAGAGGCGTATCTAGGAATTCGTCAAGATGGGTGCACGAATACGAAAAAATGCATCTTAAATATAAATTTGATAAGTTTGACTTTTAGGTTCTTAATATGAACCATTAAATTTTAAAAATAATAGGTCCATAATATATAATACTATTAGTTTTAAATTTTAATATACACATTTGATTTAATTATATAAAAATCTTATAGTGCAAAGTTTTTTAGGAACTTCCAATGTAAGACGCTTGAAAATTTTGAAAGATTAAAGGAAAAAAAACAAAAGAAAAATTAGTTGAAACGTCAAAAGTATAATCGATAACCACTTGGGGAGGTGTTACTCAAAAGGACAAGATAGATATAAGACTTAAATTTTTATTCTTACTTAGAGAGGTGGTCTCAATCATTATTGTATTATTATGTGATACTTTTAACGTGGGTTCACACATCTATATTTAAATTTTTTTTAAAAATACAACACTATTATATATGATCTAGAGAGGGGAGCATGGGTTTCACGTGAACCACGGCACCCCCTCTAAATACGCCCCTGTTAAACTGCGTCTAGTTGCTGGATTTTGGCTTTATATTTGTTTGGTTTTACTGCATCAAGCAGGTTTATATAAATAAATTTCAGTATTTCTCCAATCAGATATAAACATCAATATAGTTGTCCAAATTCCAAACAAACTCTTCAAAGTATCAGGCATGATTATGTTTTTATTAGATTCACTATATTGGTTATGCTTAAGGTGAAAACAACAGTTGTAGGCTATTATGAAAAATTATCCTTTTGTTGGTTGCAGGTTTCTAACAACCCTGCACTGTTGATAATTCGACATTCATCTCTAAGTCACCATAGGTTGCCACCTCAGGAATACAAACCTACAAGTGATAAACAAAAGGTGAGAAGTATAATTTTATGCGAGACATGTTTAGTAGTTCCTGGGCATGCTTTGGTTGATGGACCAAAAGTTTAAGTTGCAATCATATGCAAAGATTGCAAGTACGGGTATCCTTTCGGTGAAAAAATACAGGACAAAGTCCATATTTTCCTCTAATCCAAGTTAAACACTGGAAAATTTAACAGGACTATAGCATTTGTTTATGTAGATACTCTTTGTCATGGATAAAGAAAACGCTTCTGGTGTACTAAGGACAGAAGTCATCATCATTCCAAGGGACCGGGTTCGTCCTACCGCAGAATCTCCACTGGGGGCTGATTCATCTATGGACAGTAAGCTTTCTTTTTTGATAAACATATGCAAGCATGCCTTTCTTTCATTGATTGGCTAAGCTGGATTCTAATAGATGCATAAATCAATTATCATGGTTACATGTAATGTTTTAGTGGATTACTTAATATCAAGTACCATTTTATGTCTGCTCCATCAAGATCGCATTTCGTTAAAGCTCAAAACCTGGAATCTCTAATAGTGCAAAATTAAAATCAAGTAACTTCACGGATTGGTGATTCGTTTACAAGACTTTGGACACTAGAAAAACTATCTTTTGTTATCTATTTGAGTATATCCAAGGATATAAAATTTAACTTGCTACTTTACAAGTCCAAGAATTAAGAACCAAACTAACCAAGTTTGCTATTTAATTGTGTAATAATTCCCTTTTCTGTTTAAAATGTAGGGATGCATGACGGAGACAATGTTGGTGACAAGCCCAAGTTAGAGCCTGAAGAGATGCATCATGATAATTGTGGCAATGATAAGGATGTGGATGGCATTATGCCAAAGCTTCAACGTGCTGATTACTACACCGTTCCTCCTATGGAGGAGTTGCTATCCAAGGAGAAGGAAGAAGCTGATTTCTGTTGCCACGTGAAGGACTTTGTGGTAGGAAGACATGGGTATGGAAGCATCAAGTTCTTGGGAGAAACAGATGTCCGGAAGCTTGACCTTGATTCTGCTGTCCAGTTCAATCATCGTGAAGTGGTCATCCATATGGATGAGAGCAAGAAGCCTCCAGTTGGACAAAGCCTCAACAAGCCAGCTGAGATAACTCTCCTTAATGTCAGATGCATCAACAAATCGACTGGTAAGGAGTACAGAGATGGACCAATGGTCAACAAGTACAGAGATATGCTTATTAAGAAAGCAGTAGAGCTTGATGCAGAGTTTGTTTCTTATGATCCAGCGGAAGGGCAGTGGAAATTTAGGGTGTCACACTTGTAATCGTGAGTTCAAATTTTCTTGGTTGGTTTTGTGACATAACCAAATATTTGAATTGTAAAGATGTCTGTCTTCCTGCTGATACTTTTTGACAATTTGCTCACTTTGATTTAGTCCCACTAGAACTCCCACTTTTTTATGCACCCCGTTGATCCAAAGTTGTTATTACTGAATTTCTTTCAAAGTTTACTCATATTGTGGATCTCTTGCAAAGTTTTCTGGTTTGAGCTCTCGGTTGTGGTAAGTTATATCTCCTCCAAGTAACCTTTCTTATTGTACTTGTTTGTGGGTAAATAGTTATAATGAATCCTCATATTGATGAATGCATTGATCAGGTCCTAGCTAGATATTCTTATTCAATTTGTCGAGACTGTTTACTTGCCTTGATGCTGCATAGTCCGCCATTTTGTTTCTAAATGTTCCTTCCATAGGTACGTTTTGTCTTTGTTGCTCAGACTCTTCAAAAATGTCAATGGGTGCTTCTTTTTTTCTTTTCTTTTTTTAAATTAAATTTTGGACTCATTGTCCATATTATTAATTAATCAAACTGGGCCATTTTCCATAATACAAAAAGGACTGGTCGGCCCAAAAGTGACCAGACCAGGTAAATATACCAAGCTCCACCAATTGGATTTCCTAAATGAGCATATTACTTTCCTTATTCCTACACCTACTCCTTCTCTTCCTTCTTGTTGTAGCCGCTGAAGATAGTTTCCTTTAACACCAAATTCAAGCTCCTTCTTCTTTGGGTGATATACATTCTTTCTCCACCTCCGTTTTGTAGTTGAAGACGAACATGAGGAAATGCTCCCGCACTTCATCCTTGGTACCTTGTCTTTTGCTGGTACCTGTAACCCTTTTTGTTGGCTGTCATAGCTTAGGATTATATTTATTGCTCTTATAGCTCTTTTGCTCCTTACATAGCTCTTATCTAAATTGTACATAGCATAGTTGTAGCACATTGTGTTGCCTTTCCTGTACCTAAGCATACTGACCATTATAGTTGCTGATGATTCTCCTTGTTTTAATTCTCAATGTTAGGATCTGCTGTTTATCTATATTCAGTATCTTTTTCCCTAAACTTGGTAGATGACTGAAATGATGGTATTCCTGTTTATCCTCTTTATTTATTGCTGTATTTGCTATGTAATCCGCTAGCTGATTTGCCTCTCTAAAAATATGTTGAAACATGCACATTTAGTTGCATAACTATGTCATGTATGTCCTCTATCATCTCCATTATTTCCCAAGGGATTCTCCAATTCTTGGTAATCATGTTTTTAGCCATAAGAGAATCTGTTTCCAGCTATATCTGATAAAATCCTTTCCTTTTGCAAAAGTGCAAAGCTTCCCAAATTGCTCTCACCTCTGCTTTCATATTGGTAGTAACTCCTATCTCTTGTGCTGCCGCATATATAAGATCTCCATCACAATTCCTTATGCAAAATCCATACGCACTCTGCCCTGGGTTTCCTTTGCTGACTCCATCCGTATTGCAGACCACCCAACCTTCTCTTGGTAGGTTCCATCTTACTATAAGGTGGTGAAGAATAGGCTTGTAGTTCTGCAGAATGTTAACCATTTCTGGCCAGTGATATGTTGTCCTTTTAATCCATGAGAATTTTAACCTTATTAATTGATGTATTGTCAATTGACATTGATGATACATCCAATTATAAGATGTTTCCTTCCCATGTCTTATAACATTTCTTCTTTTCCACAATTCCCACATAATGATTGCTGGCACTGCCTTTAGGATCTGATCCAATTTATTCGAAATTTTCCGTTCCCACCATCTATAAATGAGTTGTTGAAGGTTCAACCCATTTATATTGATACCTACACAAGTAGCAAACTGCTTTCATAGCTTTTGGGCTATGGGAGCTGTTAGAAATAAATGTGACATGGTTTCCAGCTCTCCTTTCTCACAACAGTAGCACTTAGATACCACATTAATCTTCATCCTTTTGAGATTATCATCAGTGGCAATTCTTCTTCTCCACACCCTCCATAAGAAAAATCCAATCTTCCAAGGAAGACCTTTCACCCACATGTATTTGTTCCATTCATTCTCCTCCCTTCTGCTCCTCGTATTTTGGAAGGCTGATTTGACTGTGAAAATTCCTTTCCCATCCCCTATCCACCAAGCCTTGTCCGTACTGTCCTCACAAATATTGGCTCTTATATTTGTTGTTATGTGCTGCACCATTTCCTCCGATACAACAACCTGCAGCTTACACACATTCCAAGATCCATTTGTTATGAATTCTTTCACTTCCAATTCTTCTTCTTGTGCCAGTTCCCCTTCTGTATAGAACAGGGCACCTTGCCTAGTCCAATTGTCGAACCAAAAGCTAGAGTTTCCAGCTTTTAATTGCCACCATATATCGTGTTCCACTTCTTCTCTCATGCTAATCATTTTCCTCCAAACATGCGATGCTCCTGAGTTTTTCACCAATACTGGATGCATTTTCTTGCAATATTTGTTCCACATGTATGTTGCCCACAAAGAAATTGTGGAAACTCTAAAGTTCCACCAAAGTTTAGCAAACAGGGCTTTATTAATGTCATGTAATGATCTAAATCCAATTCCCCCTTCCTCCTTCGGAAAACACAGATCCTTCCAAGCCACCCAATGCTTTCCTTTAATATCTCCTACATTCGCCCAAAAGAACTTTGCAAATATTTGATGTATTTGCTCTATCACTTTCTTTGGTGGGTTCATTGCCGACAACATATAAACTGGCATTGACTGGAGAACACTATTCACAAGCACATGTTTTCCTCCAAATGATAGGAATTTATTATGCCAGGACAAAATTCTTCTTGATATTTTCCTAACCAGGTCTTCAAAATAACTAGCAGTTTTCCTTCCATGATAAACCGGACAGCCTAAATATGTGAAAGGGAAATTGCCTTGTCTAATCCCAGTTAATCTCCTCAGCCTGATAGCAACAATCAAAGGCGTCTTATCATGAAGATAGAAAAAACTCTTTGATTTGTTTATCTTTTGTCCTGAAACATCTTCATAATCTCTTAGTATTTTCATCATCTTTTTCACTGATCCCCTATTTCCCGAACAGAATAATATGGTGTCATCCGCGTATGAGAGGTGATTTATTTGTGGACTCCATTTTGGAAGCCCAAAACCCTTAAAATCAGCATCTCTATGTAGGCTGTTAAGCCCTCTCGCCAGTACCTCCGCTGCTATGATGAATAAAGTTGGGGACAATGGATCTCCTTGTTTCAAACCCCTTGTAGAGTGAAAAAAACCATGTGCCCTTCCATTTATCAAAACGGAATACCAGTTATTTGAGACAATCCGCCATATCATATCGATCATTTCTTCCGCAAAGCCAAACTTCCTTAGCACTTTAGTTAGGAAGATCCAAGACATTCTATCATATGCCTTAGCCATATCTAATTTCACCACCACATTAACATTTTTGTTTCTCACATTAATGTCTTTGATTATTTCCTGAGCCAGCAGTATGTTCTCTGTAATACTCCTTCCTTTCACGAATCCTGATTGAGTCGGGGATATAATTTTGGGTAGAACCCGTGTCAATCTTTCATGTACCACCCTTGAAAAAATCTTATTCATAAAGGAGCTTAGACTTATGGGTCTTAGATCAGAAAAGTTCCTTATCACCTCCTTCTTTGGTAATAATACCAAATTCGTATGGGTAATATATTTTGTCAACTCTTGTCCACAAAAGAAAGCTCTCACCATCTTGGTAATATCATCTCCCACTATATCCCAACAACTTTGAAAGAAATAGCCTGTGAACCCGTCAGGACCACACTCACTACTACCATTTAACTTAAACGCCACTGTCTTCACTTCTTCTTTATCAGGCAGACTGGTCATTTCTTCATTCTCTTCCTGTGAAATGATTCTTGGAATATGTTCTAGCATTGTGTATTCTGTTTCACCACTGTCTGCCCGAAACTGATCTGCAAAGAACTCCACTGCCGCTTGCCCAATCTGATTGTTTGACTGCAATATGACTCCTTGTTCTGTTTCTATTTCTGCAATGTGGAGCTTCTTTCTTCTCCCTCTCACATAAGAATGGAATTTTTTTGTGTTTCTGTCCCCATCTGAAAACCATTTCATTCCCGCTTTTTGCCTCCAAAAATCTTCTTCTAGTGTAAGGTATTTCTTCAGTTCCGCTTCTACCTTACTTAATTCTGTCCTATTACTTTCTGAAGGTTGTATCTCCAATTGCGCTTCCTTCACTTTTATGACGTCTTCTATAGTGGCAATTTGTTGAAATATGTTGCCAAAAACATCTTTACTCCACTCTGCCAATGCCTTCTTAACCTTCTTCATTTTCACGTGAAACTCTATAAAAGGAGTTCCAGTAAAATCCACCCTCCAGTTATCTGCCACTATCTTCTTGAATTGTTTATGTTTACTCCAAAAATTCAAGAACCTGAATGGACGAATTGTTGGTTCTTCTTCTGAGTTACAAATCATATGCAATGGAGCATGGTCAGACCCTTGTCTGATAAGATGTTGGACTTCTGACGATGGGAATAAGTCCATGAACTCCTGATTTACCAAAATTCTGTCCAGCCTCTTGAATATGCATTCCTCTTCAATTCGCCCATTCCACCATGTATACTTGCTTCCTGAAAAACGCACCTCTGTCAGTGCACTGTTACTAATGAAAGCTGCAAAATCCATCGCCTCATTCTGCGTGAATTGTAATCCTCCCAACTTCTCCTCTTCATTTAAAATGACATTAAAATCGCCCCCAATAATCCAGGGCCATCGATCCATATCCACAAAGTTCCCCAACTCATCCCATAGTTCTAGTCGGTCCATATCATTGCATCTAGCATATACCGCCGAGATGAGAAAGTTTTGACCATCCCTACTGAACTTTAAGGTTACTTGCTGCACCGTATCAAGTATTATATCACCCTCCCATTCTTCTCTCCAAAAAAACCAAATTTTTCCTGAACAATTCACCCCGGCATTTTCAAAACCTAACTTTCTTTTGTATTGATCTAGCTCTGATGGACTCTGAAAAGGTTCCATCAATGCTAT